AATTTGGACATTACTAACAGACTAATTTACAAGCCAATATATCACTCAGCTTTCTCTTTCTCCCACTATATACCCTCCCTATTTTTCTACTTAAGCGAAATACCTCTCCTTTTTAGGAGAGTCAATAAAGTCTTTATTAAAAAAAATAATGCATAATTCCCACTAACAAACATAGAACATATAACAGGAGGCTTATTCCATATTCTATTCTTCAATTATCTATTTGTTACATTTCTAATCTCATTGTCTATTTTGCTAGCTTTTCTTTTTTGCTAGCTTTTTCTTTTCTGCGTTCTCAAATTTCTATCGTTATTACGCTTATATTATACCAGTCATAAAATCTCTTCCAAGTTTTTTGAAAACTCCATTCTGTTCCAGCTCTCATCTCCAATGTCAATTTCTCATTCTCAGCCGTTTCAAACAGCTTATTCACATATTCTTGTTTCGTTGGAATCTCCATTGTTTTCCAATATTTAGCATATAGAATCCTTGCAGCTGTTGACAAGTGAACAATCAAATACCTATCCGCTTTATCAAAGTCTTTCGGAAATATATCCAGTAACAATATCTCTGGAGTAAATGGGACCTTAGTTCTTATTATTTTTTGCATTATTTCATGCACCCATCTCCAAAACCTTTTTGTAACATCACATAGCCACCACATATGATAAAATGAACCAGTCTTATTCTTACATTTCCAACATTTATCTGGGCACTTAGCGTTTTGTTTAGCTAGTCTATCTGGTGTAATATACCATCTATAAAACATCTTATACATATTCTCTTTATATGATACAGCATTAGTTAATTTAATGTTTCTCAACCAAATCTGCTCCCACTCTTCCAAGTTAATATTACGTCCAATGTTCTGGGCCCATGCAATCATATTTTTTTTCATCATTTCATCTGTCATCACATCATCTAATAAAATCTTATATAATGTCTTTATCACTTTATTTTCTGCTGTTGATATGGTTTCTTCCAACTCAGTTAAGTGTGTGGACTCTAATCTGGGAGAACCGGGTTTGATTCCCCACTCCTCCACTTGCACCTGCTGGATGACCTTGGGCAAGCCATAGTTCTGGCACAGCTGTTCTTGAAAAAGAGCAGTTTCTGTTGGACCCACCCCCACCTACCTCACAGGGTGTCTGTTGTGGGGAGGGGAAGGGAAAGGAGTTTGTAAGCCGCTCTGAGACACCTTTGGGTAGTGAAGGGCGGGGTATAAATCCAATCTCTTCTCTTCTTCTTCTTCTTTATTATTAAATCCTAGCCTCTTGTCCTTTAAATATATCGATTCCAATTGTGCTTTCTTCCACCAGGATAACTGTTCTGGTAATTTAAGGTTATCTTTTTGTCCAAAATGTCCTGGTATCTTAACGGTTCTTCTCCCACGTAAACATTTGGTAAAGTAAATGCCTCTAAAGGTATTATTAATCTCGATCTCTTGGTATAAAAGTTTTTGTGTATAGAGTCCCAGACCTTTAGTAGTGCTGCTCTCAGCCAATGCTGCTTGAAGTATTTTTGTGAGCCTGCTTTTTCATACCACAAAAAAGCATTCCATCCTAACTGTAGGTCATGGCCTTCAATTTTCAAAAGTCTCTTATCTTCTAGTGTAATCCATTCTTTGATCCATACCAGGGCTGCTGCTCTATAATACAACAGCCAAATCGGAACACCAAATCCTCCCCTTTCCTTTGTATCATGTAGTATTTTCAATCTTATTCTTACCCTTTTCTGGAAATAATGGAACCTGTATGGACAAATGCCATATGGGATGTTGTTACGTAAAGAAAGGGGGAATGTGCCTTTCCTTGCTGGGAAACTCCCTTAGACTCATGGTTCCCTGGAAAGCACCCTGTTCGCCAGCCGCCGCCACTCAGGAACCTCCTGAGAACTTCTAGACTGACCTGGTGAGACCGTATCAGTCTAGTGTGGTACTAAAACCATAATGAACTGAACAAGGTAGAAGCCCTAGCGAATACCTTATAACCAACTATGGAGCACCCACGCAGTCTAGCACAGGGCTGTCAAACATAAGGCCCGGGGGCCGGAACCGGCCCGTGCAGGGCTCTTATGTGGCCCGCTGGCAGCTGGTGCAAAGGAGGGAACAGGAGACTGGCCAGGGAGGGGAATGGGTGGAGCCACTCCAATTGTGGCTTCAGCAGAGTGGAACGACCTTATCTGGAGCAGTCAAGCAGCGTGGGAGTGTATGCCCAGTATCTCATATAATCACCGTTTTCTATAATCACACCACTGCTCTGCACTTACGGTCCATAACGCCACTGGATGCGGTCGAGCCCATGCCCCTGTTCTGGATCTGATAGACCGGTTGTGTGGGGCGCTGACCCTCCTTCTCTACCTTGGCGACAGCCGCGGGAAGCTGGGCGGACGTCTCCGTTGCTCCCGCGGGGGCTTTGCCCTCCTCCCGGGACTTCATCAGCACGATGGGCTTCTCGATGGGCGGGGCGGCAGCAGGCGCTGGGGCGGGAGCAGGAGGCGGGGCTCCCTTGGACTGCAAGGACAGAGACCGAGACCCGAATCTTCTCAAGGCCACAAAGAGATACATAGCTGCATTTGCTCAAACCCTACCTGGACCCGGTTCCTCGTGCAACCCGCCCCTCCCCCCGGTGTGTGCGCAAAGCACTCAGACCAGGGAACTGCAAAAAATAATACCGCCACTTCCTTTTAAATTATTGTACGATGCTGGGTCTGGTTTTTCTATGGTTTTAGAATGTTGTACATCGTCTAGAGTCCCACGGTTGTGGAGATTAGGCAATTGATAAACGTAATTTGATAAAAATAAGCTGCTGGATCCCTCTGACTGGGGGGCGGGGGAAGCCCACCAATCCCCACGGTGCCACCTGAAACATCTTGCGGCCACTCACTGCTACCATCCAGACTCTGAGTTCCCCCACCCTCCTCCATCTGTTTTCCAAAACCTCGAATCAGACAGAAAAGATGAAAAGCAAAAAAAAATGGGTATGTAAGAGAGGAGGAGGGACTCTCCCATCCCTCTTACCCTGTTGCTTGAGATATTCCTCTACTTTACTAGTTCAGGAAGTATCAAGTGATTCAACCAAGAAACGGCCACTTCGCTGGGGGTCTGGATGTGACCCCGAAGGGCTACAGACAGAGCGGGGCTACCAAGTGCTGGTTCCTAAACCAGGGGTCTCCAGCGTGGTGCCGGGGGGGGGGGCTGTCCTAGACTACAGACTAGACTTCAGTCGTCCATAAGTGACACTGTTGTTTGTTCAGCTAGGATCTGAGCAGCAAGCTCCTTCCTCATGGAAAAGCCAGACCATCCGGAGGAGCTTTTATTGGCACTGGAGAATCGAGTCAGCGACCAAACTAGGGTTGCCAGTTCGCTCCATGTAACTGGCAGGGGATTGGTGGGAGACTTACTGGAAGCAGGAGGGAGGCACTGCTGACGTGCAGCGATGTGCCTACGTCACTGCCCGTGTGACCTGGAAGTAATGTCATCACATCGGGGCGACACTCTGGCATCTGGGCAGAAACTCTATGGTAAATTTGGCCTCTACCATAGAGTTTTTTGCCCAAATAACAGAGCATCACCCCGAGCATCACTTCCGGGTCACGTGGGCGGTGACATAGGCATGTCAGCAGAGGCTCCCTCTTTTTCAGGGTAAGTCCCCCCCCCCAGCAGCAGGGGATCCCCACCTCCACCGGCGTGTCTGGCAACTCTATCTAGGACCCTGTCCGGTCACAGAACGCCACCCCATGATTCCCCACCCTACCCTCTCTGCAGGCGGCTTGGCCAGGATGATTGGGGTCTTCTGCATCATGGATCCCATTGGCTCCTCCACGGGGTCCTGAAAAGGAGAGAAGGGGTTAGGCTGGACCCCCCGAGACTGCTCCCCCCTTCTCAGCACAGCCCCCAGACTTCAGACCTTACCCGCCGCTCTCGGTCCCGGTCCCAGGGGACATAGTCGCGGTCCCGGCCTGGCCCGGAGAGGCTCTGGTGACCCAGTTCCTTATCGCGGTTCCAGCGGCGGCGGCGCTCGTACAGCCCCGGCTGGCTATGTCCCGACTCTGACATCGGGAAGCAGGATCTGGGGGGGGGGTAGAGAATCACTAAATAAAAACACGGTAAATGGATACTAAAGAGACTTCAGGGAGGGAGAAGGACGCAGGACCTCAGGCAGGGGTCTCTAACGTGGTGCTTATGGACACCACGGCGCCGACGACACTTCTTCCACCGCCCGTCAAGTGTTCTTAGGACGTGAGCGGGGCTAGGCAGGGATTATGCCCATCGAGGCTTCTGACTGACCGTCAGAGATTTGATTGGCTGTGTAGATTTTTTTTAAAACGTTGCTTTGGCAGCAGCGGCCACCACAGCACAAGGATCTACACTGCGTTCCTGAAATGAAGCTGTGGCAATCGTTTGTGGCTGGCTCCACCCCCTGCAGCAGCCATTTTGTGGCAGCCATTTTGTGGCTGCACCCACCGTGTAGTGGTCAGAGCGCTGGACTAGGACCTGGGTGTAGGTAAAGATAAAGTTTCCCTTGCTCGAAAGCCAGTCGAGTCCGACTCTAGGCTCATCTCCGTTTCAAAGCCGAAGAGCCAGCGCTGTCCGAAGACGTTTCCGTGGTCATGTGGCTGGCATGGCTAAACACCAAGGCGCATGGAACGCTGTTACCTTCCCACCAAAGTGGTACCTGTTTATCTACTTGCAATTTCTTGCTTTCGAACTGCTAGGTTGGCAGGAGCTGGAACTAGAGACGGGAGCTCACTCCGTCATGTGGCACACTCGGGTCTCGAACTGCTGAACTACTGACCTTCCACAGCCTGCAGTTCAGCGTCTTAACCACTTGAGCCACCGCAGCTCCTAGGACCTGGGTGACCCATGCTCAAATCCCCACTCTGCCAGGCAATGCTCCCTCTAAGTTGTGGAGCCCTGTGAGTAAAAATTCTACTTTGTGAGCGACTGGCAATAAAGTTGTGAGCAAGTGATTTGGCTGCTGCATAAATTAATTTGCTCTGGACTGCCATCCTTCCTGAGCGAAGACAAGAATGTGTGACCTGGAGGCTAAAAAACAGTGAGCTCGCTCACACTAACTCAGCTTAAAGGGAACAGTGCTGCCAGGAAAGCCGCCTTCGACTGAGTCAGACCTTCAGTCCATCAAGGCCTGACCTGGATAGCCCACGCTAGCCCGATCTCATCTGATCTTAGAAGCTAAGCAGGGTCAATCGTGGCTAGTATTTGGATGGGAGACCTCCAAGGAACACGAGCGTTGCTTACTACACAGGGGCAGGCAATGACAGATCACATTCTTAGCCTCCTGCCTTGAAACCCCTAGGGGTCGCCATAAGTCAGCAGTGACTTGACAGCAAACAGCAACACGCCGCCTTTCCTTTTTGCCCTGACCTGGAGAGCCCAATCTAGTCAGATCTCGGAAGCTAAGCAGGGCCAGCCCTGGCTAGTATTTGGAAGGGTGACCTCCAAGGAATACCAGGGGTGTGACAGAGAGGCAGGCGATGGCAAACCGCCTCTGAAACATCTTTCCTTAAAAACAAGTCTAGCTCGCCACCTAGTGGTGCACAACACTGAAAGAACTAGAACTTCTGCCAGCCAGGCAATTTTAGGATCTCCTGGCTAATCTACACACAATGCCCTGTGATAATTAGTATTAATGAGTCCACCAAGGTCAGTATTGCCTACTCTGACTGGCAGCAGCTCTCCGGGGTCTCAAGCTGAAGTCCTTCATATCACCTGCTGCCCGTTTCTTTTAACTGGAGATGCAGGGAGTTGAACCCAGAACCTTCTGCGTGCAAAGAAGAGTCTTTTCCACTGAGCCACGCCCGCTGTTTATGGAAGCTTGCTGGATGAACTTAGGACAGTCATACCTTCTCATCCTCGCAGGGTTGTTGTGAGGGTAAAATGGAAGAGAAAGATGTAAGCTGGCTGGAGCAGGGCTATTTTTGGGCAGGAACGCACAGGAATGGAGTTCCGGCTGGCTCCCGAGTTGGCCACGCCCAGCAGGAACTAATTAGCATACTAGGCCACACCCAACAGCAGGAACTCATTAGGATTGGCTACATTAGGGGTGTGTGGCCTAACATGCAAAGGAGTTCCTGCTCCAAAAAAAGGCCCTGGGTTTTGACAACAAACAAGGTAAACAGAATAAGAAGGGAAAGGTGGGTGTGGCTGGATGACCACACTTCTAGTAACATGGGGGTGTGGCCTAATGTGCTAATGAGCAGTGATGTCAGGGTGTGGCCTGATATGATAATGAGTTTTGCTGTTGGGTGTGGCCTATTATGCTAATGAGTTCCTGCTGGGCTTTTTCTACAAAAAGACCCCTGGGCTGGAGTATAAATCAGATAAATAATAAAGATGTCTATAAATAAAAAACATCAAGAGGAAGTGAGGAGGATCGGGTGTGTCTAAGTCCCTTGAGACCGTAAAAAGCTGCTGCCATTCAGTGTACACAGTTCTGGGCTGGATGAATCAACAGTCTGACTCTGTCCAGAAGGCAACTCTTTGTATTTCTCTTTCTCCCCAGCACTGGAAATCAGCACCAGGCGAAGCATGTAAAGAGAGTTCAGAGTCTCTCTAAACTAGTGCAGAATCTCACACTTCTAACACAACTCCACATATCTAGAATGAAAAGGTGATCTTCCAGGTTAGAATTTCCTGGACTGGGAAGGGACCCCCCACACACACACACAAAGTCTTTGTGCTTGGAATTTCTGCCTTTTCTGACTCCTTACCGACTGACAGGTTTTTACCTGTAGTTTAAATAAATATGGTTGCACTGCAAGAGAGATGTAATGATTCCATGCAGAGGTCATTTCGGGGGGGATCGCGGGGGATCGCAGTTCCCCCGGGTGAGGTGCAGGGGGCGGGGCACATGACAAAGCCCCGCCCCCTGCTTCCGGCCGCCCCGCTTCCAGCCCTCATTCAGCCAGGAGGAGGCAGGAGAAGAGGGAGGGTAAGTTGCTTCCTCCCCGCCTCTCCCCACCCCTGCCTGCCTGGGGCCAGGGAGGGACTTGGCGGGGCTTCCTCGCACTCCCGCCGGCCTTGCAGGTCCACCGCCAGGCCCCTGATGTCAGGGTGTGTGGCATATGCTAATGAGTTATGCTAATGAGTTCCCCTAGCTCTTTTTCTATGAAATGACCCCTGATTCCATGTTTTGGTGTGTGTGTGTGTGTGTTCCTTTAGCTGTTTCGTTTGGCTGCCGTAATATGAGAAGAGTGATAGAGGGTGACAAGTGTGATCTGACTGGCTGCTAACTGAGAGTGTGGGAGGATGGGTGTCTATGAGGAGATTCTGTGATATGAGAGAGACAAGTGTGGAAGAGTTTTGAAGAGAGTCTGTGTGACTCTGAGAATTATTGAAGGATTCTGTGTGTGAAGTTTGAACATAGTCTGTGTGACTATGGAATTTTAAGCCTAATTCTGTATGAATAAGACCAACAGCTTAGTTTCTGTGACTAAGATAGTTGATTCCAGGGCTATTTTTGGGCAGGAACGCACAGGAGTTCCGGCTGGCTTCCAAGTTGGCCACGCCCAGCAGGAACTCATTAGCATAATAGGCCACACCCAACAGCAGAAACTCATTAGGATTGGCTACATTAGGGGTGTGTGGCCTAACATGCAAAGGAGTTCCTGCTACAAAAAAGCCCTGGGTTTTGACAACAAACAAGGTAAACAGAATAAGAAGCAAAAGGTGGGTGTGGCTGGATGAGCACACTTCTGGTAACATGGGGGAGTGGCCTAATGTGCCAATGAGCTGTGATGTCAGGGGGTGTGGCCTAATATGTTAATGAGTTTCTGTTGTTGGGTGTGGCCTATTATGCTAATGAGTTCCCGCTGGGCTTTATCTACAAAAAAAGCCCTGCTATTCTGTGTGGATATATATATATCTGAGAGAGAGAAAGATTATACTGAGTGTATATGCCTGTCAGAGTGGAGTTTTGAGTTTGAGGGACTGTTTGTGGCACCAAGCTTTACCAGTTATATTTACAAGTTCTTTTCTTCAGCAACTGTTCAAAATAACCAGAAACCTCTTTGTTCTTTATTAAATAAATCAAATTTTGTTTAAACTTATTCCAGAAATCAGTACAGTACTTCCTCAGGGCCACATAGTCCTCTGAAGTGCCCAGGCCCTAGGTCATACTACCAAATGGGTCTCTCAAGGAGGGACCATATTCAGCCTGTGCTGAAAGCGCTGCACTGGCTGCCGATAGCGTTCCGGATTCGCTTCAAAGTGCTGGTTTTGACCTATAAAGCCCTAAATGGCCAGGGTCCAGCCTACCTGAGGGACCGCCTTTCTCCATATATTCCTCCAAGGGCACTTCGGTCGGGAGGGAGGCATCTCCTGGAAATTCCAGGCCCGAAAGAAGTTAAGTTTGCTGCGACTAGGGCTAGGGCATTTTCGGTGGCGGCTCCTACCTGGTGGAAAGAGCTCCCGGAGGAGATCCGGGCCCTGCGGGACCTTTCTCAGTTCCGCAGGGCCTGTAAGACGCTGTTAGCCGCCCTGAGCCTTCGGGAAAGGGCGGGATATAAATGCAATAAATAAATAAATAAATAAATAAATAAATAAATAAATAAAAGAGAGAGAATTGGAATTTTTAATTCCGGGTGGCAGCAGAAAACTACCAAGTTTATATACACAGAGAGTGTTTAAGCAAGGGCGTCACAAGAGAATACTAATTTGATGGTGTATTTGGTGCATTTTCGTATCCCACTTTTCCACTAATCTTGGCACAGGTAATAAGACCTACTGTAAAAAATGGTTTCACAAACCTACTTAGATAAGTGATTGAGACTTGGGGTCTTTTTCTGCTTTATATGGCATATTATAAATAGGATCCTATTATACTATGGTTTCCAGCCTTCAAATATCTTAATGCATAGCTACTGAACATCCCATTGTGTTGACTGTAATTGCTCACTATGCATAATCCGCCTTGAGTCCATACGAGAAAGGCGGACTATAACTAACGTAAATAAATAAATAAAATAACCTTGGTACCCAAGGCATCTTACAATGCTATACAAAAACTTTAAAATCCGCAGAGCTTCGATCCATTATAAGAGCTGAAGGAAAGGAATAGGGGATTGTAACAACATGCGGAAAGATCCAAGCGGTCATACCAATTGCGTTCACATCACTTACATCTGCCCTGCGGAGGGATATAAATGGGTCATATCGAGTAGCCGGCACTATATATTTGGCGGATGGATAAGGCTGACAAACGACTAACTGCTCCTTTAACGCTCTGCGGAAGGATACCGGCGCAAAACCCGGAACTATCTACCCTCGCTGAAATACCTGAGCGGCGGAGGGGGCGAAAGGCCGGTGACCCCGTCTATGGCGGAAAGCCGCTGGTCAGACCGTCACTTGAGCTCGAAGGTGGCGTCACGCATCCAGAACGGCTCGGTCGCCTAAAAGTGGGATGCGTCGGTTGTGAATCAGCGCATCTAGACGGTAGGAGAGGAAGGAGCCTCGTCGGCCACCGTTGCTGCACCCAGTGCGCACGCGCAAGGCGTCGAAAGGCTGACTAGAGCGGGCGGGCGCCGTTCGCTTGGATACGGCGCATGCTCAGTCTGCGGCCAGCAGTTCTGAGGCGCAGGGGCGGTCCGCTGGCGCAGGGCTGGTTGGTCCGCATGCGCGAGATGGCGACAAAGGCCCCACCCCCCCCAGACCTCATTTAAGGGGAAATGAATGGGACAAGAGTCTCTCCGTGGAAGGGTGGCAGTGACGTCTAATGGGGGGGGGGGGAAATCTTGAAGGGGAGGAAGTGAACTAAAGAGCAAAACTCGCCCCTTTTGCCCGCAAAGTTCTGCCATTTGGCCGCTTAGTTTCGGATCCGGTTGTGCAATTCAGCCCCTAACAGCAGCCACTTCCCAGCCCCTGCAACAACAACACCCACCCTCTTGGGGGGAATTCACAGTGTTGCAACCCCACCGAGAACTTGCCAAATCCTGAGACACAGCAAAGCCCTTTGCACAGCCTTTGCTGCCGTTCCTGCTTTTCAGCCGCCTTCTCCTTCGCTTGCACGTGAGAAGCGAAGGCAGATCCGGGCAATGCGAAAATTAAGGCCGCCCCGAGGAGTAGATTCCAGAGAGGCCGCGGGGTTACTTTCTTGCAGCAGTTTAAAAAGAAAAAGAAAAAAGGAGTTTAAGAAGAAAAAAAAATCTTTTGACTTCTTAAAAAAAATGAAGCGTGCAATTTAAAACATTTATTTGTTTGTTGAATTTATAGACCGCCCTCCCTTATAGGTAGGGCTCAGGGCAGTGAACATTGCAACAATTGTTGTTCAGTCGCACAGTCGACTCTTCGCGACCCCATGGACCAGATCCTGCCAGGCCTTCCTGTCTTCCGCTGTCCTCTGAAGTTGGCTCAATTTCATGTTCGTTGCATCGATGACACTGTCTAACCATCTCATCCTTTGCCGTCCCCGTCTTCTTTGGCCTTCAATCTTTCCCAGCATCAGGGTCTTCTCCAGTGAGTGCTCCCTTCTCATTGGGTGGCCAAAGTATTTGAGCTTCAGTTTCATTATCTGGCCTTCCAGGGAACAGTCAGGGTTGATTTCTTTTAGGATTGACTGATTTGTTCTTCTTGCAGTCCAAGGGACTCTCAAGTCTTCTCCAGCACCATAGTTCAAAAGAATCTATTCTTCGGGGCTCGTATTGTATTGCAACAATACATTCAACAAAACCACACTTCAATGAATACATCCCGTTAGTCAGCCTGTTGGTCTGAAACACTAGAACAAAGTTAAGAGTCCAGTGGCACCTTTAGGACCAACAAAAGATTTATTCAAGGTATGATCTTTCGTATGCATGCACACATTTTCAGATATTCAAATCGTATTTGCAACAGTATGCATGCACGCGAAGGCTCATACCTTGAATACACCTTTTCTTGGTCTTAAAGGCGCCACCGGACTCTACATTTGTTCAATAAATCCATTTGCAGTCAATTATAAAATAGTTAGGAGCTGCGGTGGCTCAAGTGGTTAAGACGCTGAACTGCAGGCTGTGGAAGGTCAGTAGTTCAGCAGTTCGAGACCCGAGTGTGCCGCGTGACGGAGTGAGCTCCCGTCTCTACTTCCAGCTCCTTCCAACCTAACAGTTCGAAAGCAAGATATTGCAAGTAGATAAATAGGTACCACTTCGGTGGGAAGGTAACAGTGTTCCGTGCGCCTCAGTGTTTAGTCATGCCGGCCACATGACCACGGAAACGTCTTCGGACAGCGCTGGCTCTTCGGCTTTGAAACGGAGATGAGCACCGCAACCCTAGAGTCGGATTCGACTGGCTTTCGAGCAAGGGAACCTTTACCTTTACCTTTAATGAAATAGTTAAAACAAGAACGAAATGAAAGACCGTTTCAGACCATTAGCGCTTCAGGGATCGGTTTATGTCCATGAATGACGTCAAGAAACCTTGCACGACGGAGGCTTTTCCGCCCGCATCTCCTCCCTTCTCCCCCTCTAATAACCCTCTTTAGACCGCCGCCAGCCGTAAAGATCATGTGGAGGGAGGGAGGGAAGTGGAACTACAACTCCCAGCAGCCCTTGCTGCCCTCGGCGCCGCCTGGGAAGCGCCGTGCTCCCCCCCCCCCCCCCCCCCCCCCTCCCCAGGGGGGGGGACCGAACGCTTCCGGCCGCCTTCCTCCGAGCATCATGCGGGAAGGCTTGCTGGGCTGGCCCGGAGCAGCTGCTAGGCCTGCCGGACACGCCTTGGTAGGTCGCCGCCGGGAGGGGAGGAGGAGGAGGCGACCCGCGGCCGTGCACGGAGCCCGGGGAGGAAGGAAGGAAGGCTGCGCGTCGGTCCTGCCTGGCGGGTGACGCCGGAGCTGGGAGCGGAGGCAGGGCTGAAGGAGGGCTGGGCGGCAGGGTGGGTTGGGAGTAGCATTACTATTACTATTGCTATTATTATTATTATTATTCATAGCATCCCCGCGCTCCCCAAGCGTTGCGGATCTGCAATGCGAAGGCGCAGTCTCGGGATCGCCCAGCACTGCGAGGGAGGGGGTTCGGCTTGGCATGCACAGAGTGCCTGGTTCGATCCCCGCCCGGTCGGAAGAGACAAGAGCGGCCAGGAGGAGACGGGAACGAGGGCCGCTGCCAGTCCCAGCAAGGCGATCCTGACCTTGCTAGACCGGTGGCCTGACTCGGGAGGAGGCAGCACGCTGCGTCCAAAGCCAGCGCTGTCCTCAATAGCCAAGAGGAAGTCGCGTCTTTGGAGAGTAGCCGCTTTCACACATGCCGGATAATGCACTTTTCAGTGCACTCTGCGAGTGGATTTTGCTGTGTGAAACGGCAAAACCCACTTGCAAGCAGTGTTCCCTCTAAGCTGAGTTAGCGTGAGCTGGCTCACAGTTTTTTAGCCTCTGGCTCACACATTCCGGTCTTAGCTCAGGAAGGATGGCTCCAGAGCAAACTAATTGATGCAGCAGCCAAATTGCTCGCTCACAACTTTAATGCCAGTAGCTCACAAAGAAGAATTTTTGCTCACAGGACTCCATAGCTTAGAGGGAACATTGCTTGCAAGTGATAGTGAAAGTGTATTGAAAGGGCATTATTCTGCACGAGTCAAAGTGGGCTATATCGTGAAGGGGGGGGGATCATTGTCTTGTAATCACAACAGACATATTCCAAGGCATATAATACACTGTCCCTGGCCCCACAGAAGGGTGTCTGCTTCTCCTGGCCCTAAGGATTCGAAGTGATGTAAAGAACAGTACCTCTGGTTTGCAGGCAGAAAGTCTCAGGCTCAATCCTCACCACCTCTGGTTAAAGGGGTCAAGTAGTAGAATACACGAAAGACCTCCCGTCTGAGACCCTGGAGAGCGGCCGCCAGCCAGAGCAGAGAGTGTGGATGAGTGTCCCCTCTAAGCTGAGTTGGTGTGAGCTCGCTCACAGTTTTTAAGCCTCCGGCTCACACAAATTTTTTTGTCTTCGCTCGGGAAGGGCGGGCCCCAGAGCAAACTCATTGATGCAGCCGCCAAATCACTCGCCCACAACTTTAATGCCAGCAGAGCTCACAAAGCAGATTTTTTGCTCACAGGACTCCGCAGCTTAGAGGGAGCGTTGCCGCTTGGAGTCCCCGCTGGGGAGTGAGGTGGGGCATAAACAAAGTAGATCGATAAACCCTGAAGCAGAAATCAGAAGGGCAGCCCCCGCCCCCAGCTTAGAGGGAGCATGGGTGCTGATCCTGGTAACAGCCGTTCCCAGCATCTGACAATCAAGAGTCCTTCTGCTCTGAACCCAGAAGTCTTATTCAGCTGTCATGGCTCACTGCCGGAACCCCTATAGCGCTGCCCAGCTGCCTTTCAGTTCTGGCCTGCCGTCCTGGCTGTAGTTTACGGCAGAGAGCTCTGCTGGTGCGCCCGGCGTGACGGCAAGACCTGCCCCAAGGAGCTTCCCTCGTTTGAGTGACACCAGGAGGATCTACTCATAGTTGAAGGGGGGGTGAGAATGGAGGCAAGAGTGAATCGTGGAAGCACCCGTGCCCAAGTCTCTCTCGCTTTTTTTTTCATGGTTTTTCTCAGAGAGGAGGCTAAGAGTTGTGTGACTGCACACCGTGACTCCTAGATCTTCATGACACGGCTTCACTTTTGATTCCAACTCTGACCTCCACCTTGCTGCCAAGACTCCTCTTGTTGTTCAGAGTAGCAGACTCCTAAATTTGTTGTTGTTCAAACCTGACTCCATTAAATTGGGATTTATAGTTCAGAAGTCATTCTTATCTATGGGAACAGATCTGATACTAAATTAGTATGTTACTATGTTATAACTATTGATGCATGATGACAACTTTGTTGGTTGATTAACTGGCTGGTTTGTAATGTTGGATTCTCAGAACTTTTGTATACTGTTTTTGCAGGCAGGGCTATTTTGGGGCAGGAACGCACAGGAACGGAGTTCCGGCTGGCTCCCAAGTTGGCCACGCCCAGCAGGAACTCATTAGCATAATAGGCCACACCCAACAGCAGGAACTCATTAGGATTGGCTACATTCGGGGTGTGTAGCCTAACATGCAAAGGAGTTCCTGCAACAAAAAAAGGCCCTGGGTTTTGACAACAAACAAGGTAAACAGAATAAGAAACAAAAGGTGGGTGTGGCTGGATGAGCACACTTCTGGTAACATGGGGGTGCGGCCTAATGTGCTAATGAGCTGTGCTGTCAGGAGTGTGGCCTAATATGCTAATGGGTTTCTGCTACTGGGTGTGGCCTATTATGCTAATGAGTTCCTGCTGGACTTTTTCTACAAAAAAGCCCTGTTTGCAGGTATTGTACATGTTATAAGTTACACTTGATCTTAATAAATATTTAAAAATTAAAAAAACCTCCTAGGTCTTATATGTGGGGGGGAGGGGCTTGGTGCTGGTGGCCTGAGTTCCTGAATGCCATCTTTGGGAGATAGATCCAGGTGGGGTAGCTGTGTTGGAAAAAACCTCCTAGATCTTATATGTGGGGGGAGGGACTTGGTGCTGGTGGCCTGAATTCCTGAATGCCATCTTTGAGAGATAGATCCAGGTGGGGTAGCCGTGTTGGTCTAAAGCAGCAGGACGAAGTCTGAGTCCAGTGGGCACCTTGAAGACCCAACAAAGTTGTATACAGTGAAACGGAGCCTCAGCCATTACTTACAGAGGGTGGGGTGTGGGTTGTTGTCAGGAAGAGCCATTTAGAGTCAAGGTGCATAAGTGGTGGGAGAGTAAAGCTGGGGCTGGATGTAAGAAAGATCTGTGAATAGCCATAAACTAGCATACAAATACAAGAATTAACAGACGTGGGTCAAAGGTAAAGGAATAGTCCCTGTGCAAAGAAGAAGCTAGAGATTGGATCTATGCCCCGCCCTTCACTTGGAGTCTCAGAGCTGCTCACAGTCTCCTTTCCCCTCCCCTTCTCCCAACAGACGCCCTGTGAGGTAGGTGGGGCTCTTTTGAGGACTGCCCTTGAGAGAACAGCTCCGAGAGAACTTGTGACTGACCCAAGGTCACACCAGCAGCTGCATGTGGAGGCATGGGGAATCAAACCCGGTCTCTGCATTCTTATATCCTTAGGAATGTACAGGTTGGACATTTACATTGGTGGGACCATGCTGCATGTTCATAGGCGAGTCAGCCCAGAAACCAGAGTTGGGTCCGTGACAGGCCGTCGGTGGCCACAGTCTCTCAGCCTTGTAAAGTGATGAGCTCCACACCCTCTGTTCCATCTGGTCCCCTCTGCCTAGGTGCTCTGCCCATTTAGCCCAGCGGGCACACTGTGGTGCGTTTGCTGGGTCATTATATTTCTTTCTGTTCCCCTTTCTGGTTTCCCAGCTCCACGGATCGTGCTTTTATGTATTCCGGGGTTAAAGTGCTTGAAAGTTGGCTCACCCTGTTGGCTTTAGTTTCCCGGAGAAAAGATTACTCAAGATGTTTGTTTCTTTTTTTCCCCCCCGCTCAATACAGGGCGCGATGGACTTGGTGGCAGGGATGGAAGTCGGGGCCGAAATCGAAGTGACCGAAGACGGGACCTTGGAGGAATTGCCTCTGCATTTGGTATGTGGGATGCCTGTGCTTAGAATCCCGTTTCCGCCTTTGTGGTGTGAGCCTCTCTTTGGACAGGGCTCCGCCACGGGGCTTATGGGGGAGTATAGTCTGTGGGGTAGAGAGTGAACCCTGGTGACCCAGGTGTCCGCTGTAAACCCATTCCCAGTTCCTGCAATTGACCCAAATCCTGTGTTTTAATAAGCTGGTTATCTATTAACCCGGAGGCTCGGGAGTGTGTATCAAGTATTGATAGAATCCGCTACATTTTCAATTATCCCCGTTTCCCAAATTAAATCGTGGGACTGGTGGGCACGCCCTGACCTGGATCGCCCGGGCTAGTCTGACCTCTTCAGATCTAGGAGGCTAGGCAACGTCAGCCCTGCTTAGGACTCGGATGGGAGACAACAGAGGAAATCCAGCTCATTCCAGGCGGTCAGCCGTCTTAGTCTGAAGCAGCGGAACCAACGTAGAGTCCAGCGGCACCTTTAAGACCAACAGAGGTTTATTCGAGGTATGAGCTTGAGTGTGCGCAGTGTGCACACTTTTTCAAATACATCGGAAAGGAAGGTAGAGTTCAAACTTATAGACAGAGGCCGAACGGCAGATTAACATATTAACATAATGAAGATGTTTTGAGATCTGCAAAGACAAAACTAAATAGCAAGCTAAGGTTATACGGTCAGCAGTTGTTTTCCTTTAATTAAGGGGGAAAGGACAGCAAAGCACTAAAGATGTCAAAGGAGGGGATAAATGTGTAAAGGCATCTTTTCTAATTGTGGGAAGAAAACTGAGAAAGGAAACATTCGTCTCCTCTTAGGTGTGGAGGTAACCAATGTTCCCTCTAAACTGTGGAGTCTTCTGAGCAAAAATTCTACTTTGTGAGCTACTGGCATTAAAGTTGTGAGCAAGGAATTTGGCCACTGCATCAATTAGTTTGCTCTGGAGCCCTCCTTCCTGAGCTAAGACAAAAATGTGTGAGCCGGAGGCTAAAAAACTGTGAGCTAGCTCACACTAACTCAGCTTAGAGGGAACACTGGAGGTAACAGCATTTCTCTCTCTCTCTCTTTTTTGAGGTGGGTGCCGTGGTATGTCGGCAATCCTTCCGATATCGCTTGCATTACATTCAGTATTCTAATGTCCTGTTCTGAAAAAGAAATACACTAATGTATTCCAATGTATTTGGGGAAAGTGTGCATGCACATGAACGCTCCTACCGTGAATAAACCTTTGTTGGTCTTAGAGGAAATCGAGGGTTGGTACGCAGACGCAGGCGACGGCAAACGTCTGGGGTTGCCATAAGTAGGCTGCGACCGGACGGTACCTCTGGCGCTTTTCCAAACTTGTTTTTAACAGCTGCAACATAGCACTTAAACTTTTCAAGTACTTGATCTTTACTTTTAAGTAGGTATGTAAAGACATAGCTGGATTTTGCTTCCATAAAACTGACAAAATATTTGCTGCTTCCAGCGGACTCTTATTGGACCAACAAGATCTGAGTACACAGTCTCTAGAAACTTTGTATTTTGTTCAGCAGATTTGCCCTTGTAGCTAGGAGCTGTGCCTTTTGCTTTAAAGCAGGTTTCACAACCATTTTTCATAGCATCACACTCAAAAGCATTAATATTACAGTCCTTCAAGAGCTTTTGTACACTTTGCACATTTCTCTGAGCCACCAGTAGCAGGCGTGGATCTCAGGGTACACGTTTCAGCTCAGCAGTGAACTCAGGGGAACGGCCTGGCAGTCTGTCATGCAAGAATGATGCTGATCTACCTTGTACAATCATTTCGAGCATCATTGAGAATGAGGAATATGACACTGAGCGAATGCTATAGGATGACTGGGTGGCGCTTGGCTGTATACAGCTCTCTGCCGTCCTTCGCCGCGACGTTCAGGGTGACACCGAAGTTTAACTCCACGAATGTGGAGCGGCTGTCGAGAATGCCCATCTGCAGACCGTGGGTGTTCAAGCAAGATGTTGTTGTTGTTCATTAAATTTATGAATCGCCCAGCCCTGCAAGTGGGCTCTGAGTGATTTACAACCTTGAAAGCCGTTAAAATGTAATCGGCATAAAATTATCACAACCAGTGTTCCCTCTAAGCCGAGTTAGTGTGAGCTAGCTCACAGTTTTTTAGCCTCCAGCTCACACATTTTTGTCTGAGCTCAGGAAAGAGGGCTCCAGAGCAAACTAATTTATGCAGTAGCCAAATCGCTCGCGCACAGCTTTAATGCCAGCAGCTCACAAAGTAGGATTTTTGCTCACAAGACACCGCAGCTTAGAGGGAACCTTGATCACAACGCACTAATAAATCAACCAGTCTGGACGGCGACATCAAACCCTTTTGCCGGCTGCAGTGCCGGCAGGAAAGGGGATGTGGGGGCCGAAGGAAGGGGGGGTGCCGGTCATAACCGTTTCTGCCCTCAACTAAAACACAATATTCACATGTACTTATAGCTAAATATATTTGCTTTTTATACAAAGCATCAACTCCAGTGTATTGTAAACGCTTTCAAACGACAGCATCACATTTCAAACACTTTCAAGCTAAGTTATATAACACGAAGAGTCCAACTGTCTTCTTCCTGATGGAGGATAGATACCAATGTACAGTTATTTGCACCGAACAATGCAGCAACCTATCGTACATTTCCCAAGTGACGATCCATCAGGTAGAGCTAGCAGGCAGCTTGTATTTCTCACGGTGATGATGCAGCTTAGCAAGCAAGCCTAGTAGATGTATTTTCCCATGAGGTGATTCAGCTAGCCAGCAGGCCTAGCAACACGCCTCCCGGGAATAACCTGCGTGTTTCGAACAAATCTTCTTCGGGCATAAATTTTCCTGGAACCACAGCTCCTGAATTTACCCATGCATGAGTCAAACAATGTAAACATAACCGTTGCTGCCCTCAACTAAAAGCCTGGCGGAGCATCTCTGCCTCACAGGCCCTGCGGAATTGCATGAGATCCCGCCGGGCCCTGATGTCGTTCGGCAGAGAGTTCCACGAGGTCGGGGCCAGGACCGAAAAGGCCCCGGGCGTGGTCGAGGACGGCCAGACCCTCCCTGTTTTTGGTTGACTTCAGAGATATTGGGGGGCGGGGGTTGTTTGTTTCGGCCCTTTCAGTGCTTTAAAGATATGCCCACTCTGTGCCCCAGTTTTGTGACCCCCCTGCCCCCCCAACCAATGTTCCCTCTAAGCTGTGGAGTCTTGTGAGCAAAAAGTCTACTTTGTGAGCTACTGGCATTGAAGTTGTGAGCCAGTGTTTTGGCCGCTGCATAAATTAGCTTGCTCTGGAGCCCTCCTTCCTGAGCGAAGACAAAAATGTGTGAGCCGGAGGCTAAAAAACTGTGAGCTAGCTCACACTAACTCAGCTTAGAGGGAACACTGCCCCCAACATATCTTTTCATGTACTTATTCATAACCATGACCTGGCTGGTCTGAGCTCGTCAGGTCTCAGAAGCTATGCAGGGTCGGCCCTGGTCAGTATTTGGAAGGGAGACTACCGAGGAAGTCCAAGGTTGCTGCGCAGAGGTCGGCAACGGCAAACCACCTCTGTTTGTCTCTTGCCTTGAAAGCTCTACGGGGGGTCACCATAAATCCGCTGTGACTTGACAACCCGTTCCTCCACTACCACTTTTACATGATTTATTTACTTGGTAGAGTTTCTCCCTGCTCCTGCAAGTCATGTTTGCGGGTGGCCTGTGCAGGTCACTGATGAACGACTTGTACGCAATATATCTGGCATGTGCAGCCTAGGCCGGGGGTGTCGAACTCATTTGTTAGGAGGGCCGGATCTGACATAAATGAGACCTTGTTGGGCCGGGCCGTGTGTGTCATAAAATGTAACGCCAGGTAGTGGAGATAGAAACTTTATCAAGGACACAAACACAAAGTGGTGGGTTTTCTTACTTAAAATAAAAACATGCTCAAAACAGTAGCACTCTCGCAACGTTTTGTTTATTTAACGGTCTGATAACTGACACCTCTTGCTCTGAATGATTGCATCAAACTGTCTGTGTTGTTGCAATCCTGAGTATGCTGTTCAGGTGTGTATCTGGAAGCTGCAAACCTACGATGATGCAAGAGCAGCAGAACCGGAAGAAGCAGCAGAAGACAGCCAGTTCCACTGCGGGCCCTCCGGGGGCATGATCCGGCCCCCGGGCAGCATGTTTGACACCCCTGGCCTAGGCTATTAGGAAACCTCTCCAGCAGCCTCTCTGGCTTTCTGGAAAGCATCTACAGTCTGCTTTTCTATTACAAAACAGAGGTGAGGTCAGGTGTTGCCCACACCCTTTCTGAGCATGTATTTACAACCATGAGCAAAGTTCCCTCTAAGCTGTGGAGTTTTGTGAGCAAAAATCCTACTCTGTAAGCTACTGGCATTAAAGTTGTGTGCGAGCGATTTAGCTACTGCATAAATTAGTGTGCTCTGGAGCCCTCCTTCCTGAGCGAAGACAAAAATCTGTGAGCTGGAGGCTAAAAAACTGTGAGCCATCTCACACTAACTTAGCTTAGAGGGAACACTAACCATGAGGGCTAGAAACTTGCAAAAGACGTATGGCTGAAGTTCTTGTGGTGCTCCGTTACGCTCTGGGTGCCACATTCTCGCCCCTTCTGTTCCGTGCGTGGATGGGCTCGCAGCCGGTGCTCTTTGTCCTTCCTGGTTGCTAACGGCTCTCTTTTCTCCTTCGCCCCCCAGGAAAACGCCAAGAACTGCCTCTCCTGGGAATCCCTGGATATGTCGAGCAGCGACGACGACGGGGAGGCGTACTTGACCTTCTGCCTGCCGGTGAGGCGCCCTCCCCGGCCCGTGCCGCGGCTCCCGGCCCAGCGGCCACCAGCCTCTCCCTCCCCCGTTCAGCGGGTCCCGCCCTTGTACCCCTGCCCGGTGCGCCCAGCTGCCCCTCCTTCCCCCGTGATTCCGGCCTTTGAGGCCTACCAGTGCCAGAAGTGCCTCCAGGTGTTTATGGAAGAGTGGCACTACGCCCAGCACCTGCAAGACCACATCCAAGAAGAGGCGGCCCAGCGAGCGGCCGCCCCGCAGGCGCGCGCCCGGCCCCACTCCCCGCCCCGCAAGCTGCGCTGCCTGGAGTGCGGCAAGCGGTTCCTGCACCCGCAGCATTTTGCGCGGCACACCAAGTGGCACCTGAGGCTGGTGCGCAAGGGCATCAGGGTCTGCCGCAAGAAGGGCGGGCGGCGCTCGTCCCAGGTGTCCTACGTTTACAAGCCCCTCGGCACCGTGGCCGGCAACCAGCTGGGAGCGAAGGACGGCCCGGGCCTTCCGGGTGCCCAGGATAACTCGAGGCAAGGGAAGAGTCTCCAGGCACCCAAGAACCAGAGGGCCGGCAAGCGGAAGGGCATCCGGCACCCAAAAAGTGTGCCCCCCGAGGCCTCGCGAGACATGGGGCTGCTGATCCCCGGCTACCCGGAAAATTCCATGACCATCCTGGACGGCGAGGTCGGCGTCAGCATTCTCCACCCGTGGCAGAAGAAGCAGGAGGCTGTCTTGGAGGGGCAGGTGGTGGGAGGCCTCTTCCAGCCGGCGGTCATCAACGCCGAAAACCAGATCATCATCTTGGACGAGGAGGAGGCCGGAGCCAGGCCGGAGCAGCACTACGCCGAGGTACAGGCCACCCTGTTTGACAACCAGGCGAGCGCCGTGAGGCCTCTCTTCTTCCGAGCGGAGGAGCAGGCCCCCGTCTTGGACACTCAGGTGAACGTGGGCTCTCTTCAGTTGGGAGGGGGCAAGGAGCCGGCCGCCGTCACGTCCGGGTGGGTGGGCCAGAGCCCTTGCACCCTCTTCAGGACCGTGCTCCTGCAGGCGGATGAGCAGGCGGCCATCTTGGACGGCCAGGGGGAGTCCAGCCCCCTCCAGCAGGTGATCATTAAGACATCGGAGGTCTCGCCCACTCTGCTCGTGGACGCGGAGCCTCACTTCTCCTCGCTGGACTCGGCAACCCTCCAGTTTGTCCCCGTGCACTCTGAGCCTCAGTTCATCACCATCCCCTACGGCAACTCGCTGACGGTGGATCATACGGATACGGCGGAGGAAGCGGAGAAGGCTTGGGAGTCTCAGGCCACAGCTTTCCAGTTCCCGGGCTACCTGCCGAACGTGTGCCAGCAAAATAAGCAGCCATCCCCTACTGCGACCTCTTGTCCTTCGCCCAAGGGTTCCTTGGTGGTTCGTTTGGTACCTTGTGCCTCTGGGGAGCACCCGGAGGTCTTAGACCTGGAGTACGACACGGGAGGGGGCATTCCGGTAGCCTCCGAGCCGTGGGAGGCCAGCATCGGGACCGGGCAGGAGACTTATACTACCGAGGAGGCAGTAGAGGATAATTTCATCATTGTGGAGGTGGAGGCCGATTCCTGTGAACATGGCCTGGCTGCGGAGCGCACCCACGACAGGCCACGAGGGCAGGCCCTCCGCAGGATTATCCAGGCCGCCAACCAGAACCACGTCCGGCGCTTCAAGTGTCCGGACTGCGGCGTACGCTACGGCCGGATGTCACAGCTCCGCTCCCACCAGAGGGGGCCAAAGCGCCGAGGGCGGCGCTACCTGTGCGAATGCGGCGCTTCCTTCCGGGGTCTGCTTCATCTCCTGAGGCACCAGCTCCTGCACCTGGATGAAGCCCTTTTTATCTGCGCCACCTGCGGGAAGTCCCTCAAAGGACACAAAGGCCTGGCCCGGCACGGCACCTGCCATCCCGGCACGGCCCGTTTTGGCTGCACCTGTGGCATCAGCTTCCAGCGCTTGTCCCGTTATCTCTGGCACCATGTGAAGAGCCAGCGGCCTGGCCTGAGGGTTTACACCCTCTCAGGCTTCCTCTCCTCAGGCTGAGCTGCCAGAGACTGACAGAAGGAGGGAGAATATGGAGCTTCTCCCTTGTAAGTCTGAGGAGAGAATATGGAGCTTCTCACTTGAAAGTCTGAGGGGGGAATGTGGAGCTTCTTACTTGGAATTCTGAGAGGAGAATATGGAGTTTCTCCTTTGGAAGTCTGAGGGGAGAATATAGAGCTTCTCCCCTGGAAGTCTGAGGGCAGAATATGGAGTTCTCCCCTGGAAGTCTGGGAGGAGAATATGGAGCTTCTCCCTTGGAAGTCTGAGGGGAGAATGCGGAGCTCCTCGCTTGGAAGTCTGAGGGGAGAATGTGGAGCTCCTCACTTGGAAGTCTATGGGGAGAATGTGGAGCTTCTCCCCTGGAAGTCTGAGGGGAGAATGTGAAGCTTCTCTCCTGGAAGTCTGAGGGGAGAATGTGGAGCTTCTCCTCTGGAAGTCTGAGGGGAGAATGTGGAGTTTCTCCCCTGGGAGTCTGAGGGGAGAATGTGGAGCTTCTCACTTGGAAGTCCGAGTGGAGAATGTGAAGCTTCTCAGTCAGAGGTCTAGTTCAGAGACGGAGATAACTCTGGGGTGTGAGGCCTTTTATTTTTCCTTCGAAGGGACATTCGGCAAAAATGGTTTACTAGTTTTGGATGCGAAACCGATTTCTCTTGGGATGTATGTCTTCAGTTTTTTGTTATTTTGGCAGTGTAATTATGATGGATGGTAATTAAAGAACAGAGATCCAGACTCCTTCACTCCTTGCTTGCCTCCGACAAACGCTTTTCGGGACAGGAAACCAAAGGGCATTCCTCCGCAGAGGTCTAGGGGAAGTCTGTGTTCCGTGGTCTGTGTTTGGTCACACGAAAAACGAACCCTGCAAAGTATCTCAGTGCAAATTACTCAGAAAGGGATTGGTTTCTTTTCTACTGTTCCTGCAGTGTCTGAAACAGAGAAGGTGTGGTCACCTCAGCTCTCTTTCTAGCTGGCTCGTGTGGCTGAGAGATATGCTGGATGGCCAATATCCGCAAGGGAAGCTTTTTCCCGCTTCCCCAATGTCAGGAACAGCTTCACTTGATTTTTCCCCCCTGGGTACAGCTTCTTCATGCCGGAGAGTCTTTGCCTGGGGGGGGGGGGGGGGGGGAAATTTTTTTTTTTTTTTTTTTTTTTCTATCCCCAAGCTGCGTGTGATTGGTTTACTCAGAGAGCCAACAGTTAGAGTGTGGGAACAGAACCTGGGGCAACGGGATTGGAATTCCCACTCTTGTCATGAGAGCTTGCCAGGTGACCCCGGGCCCGTCACAGTTTCTCTGCCTAACCTACCTCACAAGGTAGTTGTTGGGGGAGAGTGGAAGAGGGGGAAAACACCGATAAGCCATTTTGCCTCCAGTGTAGGGAGAATAACGCAGTATAAATAACATAGAGCGAGGGCATCCCAGAGAGAACACAGAGGCGTTCTGCGATGAAGAGAGAAGAGATTGGATTTATACCCCGCCCTTCACTCAGAGTCTCAGAGCAGCTTGCAATCTCCTTTCCCTCCCCCTCCCCACAACAGACACCCTGGGAGGTAGGCAGGGCTGAGAGAGCTCTTTGAAAGACGGCTCTTGAGGGAACAGCTCTGAGAGAACTTGTGACTGCCCAAGATCACGCCAGCAGCTGCATGTGGAGTGGGGAATCAAACCCGGTTCTCCCAGATCAGAGTCCGCGCTCCTAACCACTACGCCAAACTGGTGTGAGAGATGAGGCGGAGGGGAATCTGGTTGGCTGAAGTTTGGGTACAGGCTCCGTAGATCCTGGTGCTCGTTTCCTCAAGTAACATAACAGTTTCCTGGAACAAATGAAGGGGAAAGCTGTTTTTTTTTTTGTCCCCCTACATGCTTGCCTGGTTCAGAGATGTGGCGCCTCTATACATAGAAGCGTAGAGCTGGAAGGGATCCCAGGGGGCATCTAGTCCAACCCCCTCCACAATGCTGGAAATTAAGAACATAAGGGATGCCAATGTTGGATCAGGCCAAAGGCCCATCCAGTACCACACTCTGTATCACACAGTGGCCAGAAATACCATGTGCCATCAGGAGGTCCACCAGTGGGGCCAGGACATTAGAAGCCCTCCCACTGTTGACCCCCCCCCAAGCACCAAGAAGACAGAGCATCACTTGCCCCAGAGCCCCTAGCTATACCTTGTGGCTAATAGCCACTGATGGACCTCTGCTCCATATGCTTATCTAATTCCCTTTTGAAGCTGTCCATGCTTGTAGCACCCACCACTTCCTGTGGCAGTGAATTCCATGTGTTAATCACTCTTTGGGTGAAGAAGTACTTCCTTTTATCCGTTCTAACCTGACCGCTCTGCAGTTTCATGGAGTGCCCACGAGTTCTTGTATTGTGAGAAAGGGAGAAAAGTACCTCTTTCTTTACCTGCTCTTTCCCATGCATAATCTTATAAACCTCGATCATGTCACCCCTCAGTCGTCTTTTCTCCAAGCTAAAGAGCCCTAAGCGCTTTAACCTTTCCTCATAGGGAAAGTGTTCCAACCCTTTTATCATTTGAGTTGCTCTTTTCTGCACTTTTTCCAAAGCTATAATATCCTTTTTAAGGTGTGGTGACCAGAACTGTACACAGTATTCCAAATGAGGTCGCACCATTGATTTATATAGGGGCATTATGATGTTGGCTGATCTGTTTCCAATACCCTTCCTCATAATCCCCAGCATAGCATTGGCACAGCTACAGGGTAATTCACAGCGACTCTCCCAGTGATCCCTGCTCTGTGCCCACAAGAAGGCAAAAAAGTCCCTGGGTCGCTCTGTCCTGGAGGAAGATTCCTTCCTGAACCTAAAGTGGTGATCGACGTTACCCTGGGGGCACGTAAGTGGCTCATCCCTCCCTGCCCCAATCTCCCTAAATTCACAGAATCAGCATTGCTGCCATTTGGCCATCTAGCCTCTGTCTAAAAACCTCCAGAGGTTGCATTTAATTACTACGGGCAATAATCCTCAGTGTGTTCTGAGGAAATACTCGCTGGGGGGCAGCCAGTGAGGGAGACCCTTTTTCTATGTGTCTCTGCCCACTCCCAAGTGACAACCCGTCCGTGTGACATTTGGAAGGGCCGTGATGTGTCCCGTCCTCGAGAGCAAGCAGGGGCAGACGTTCGCACCGGGCGCCCCGTTCTGACTTCCTCACCCGACTTACGATAACCCGGACATCATTCCCTCCAAAATGCATTTATTGAGCTGGGTTTTATTTTCCCGTCGAGAGGGCCGGGGTTCCAAGGTGTTTGTTCTTTTGCCCTCACAACAGCCCTGTGAGGTAGGTCTGGGAGCATTGCAGAGTTAGTGAAGACATGCGTTTCTAAAGAGCGGAATCGGCATCCTTCGCAGCAGGGCCACGAGCAGGTGTCGTCCCCCCCCCTTGGGCATTGAGACAGTTCCCACCCAGGAAACCACGGCATTCTCTGCTTGGCACTGATGGGCAGTTGCCAGCTGTGACGAGGATTTATTGTCACTGCCGCCGCCCACAGCCCGGATGGCTCTAAAAACGCCATTCCTGAGCAATGTTCCCTCTAAGCTGAGTTAGTGTCACCGTTTTTTAGCCCCCGGCTCACACCTTTTTGTCTTAGCTCAGGAAGAAGAGGAGATTGGATTTATACCCCGCCCTTCACTTGGAGTCTCAGAGCGGCTTACAAACTCCTTTCCCTCCCCCTCCCCACAACAGACACCCTGTGAGGTGGGTGGGGCTGAGAGAACTCTGAGACAAACTGCTCTTTTTTCAAGGACAGCTGTGCCAGAGCTTGTGACTGACCCAAGGTCACATCGGCAGGTGCAAGTGGAGGAGTGGGGAATCAAACCCGGTTCTCCCAGATTAGAGTCCGCGCACTTAACCACTATACCAAACTGGCTCTCCAGGGATGGCTCCAGAGCAAACCAATGTACACAATAGGCAAACTGCTTGGTCACAACTTTAACGCCGGCAGCTCACAAAGTAGAATTTTTGCTCGTAAGGCTCCACACTTTAGAGGGAGCCTTGTTCCCAAAGTCTGCCGCAGACTGACTCTTGCCTGGCCAAAGGGTTGCTCACCTGCCGCAGCCGTTGCAGGACTCTGGCTGTTGACTGCAGCGTTCCCTGAGGGGAGTGGAGCAACCCTTGGAGGTGTTTTATCACAGAATCATTTCCAGGAGTTTTAGAACTTGGGGTCCTGCACAGAACCCTCCCCCCCCGGGGTACACCAGCCCACAGCGTGAGAACTTTAGACGTTTCGGTCTCGGGTGCTCTTTTATCGCCACCCAATTGCTCTGTACGTACAACAGAACATTTAAGGCACGTTGTTCCAACCCGTGCATCATTTGCTTAAGTTCGGGCTGGCCAGTCTTTATTGAGACCAGAGTTACTGGTCCACAGATTTAAGTCCACAGATTTAAGGCACGTTGTTCCAACCCGTGCATCATTTGCTTAAGTTCGGGCTGGCCAGTATTTATTGAGACCAGAGTTACTAGCCCACAGATTTTCATCTGCCCAACCTTTGCGTGTCCAGGGTAATAATTCGTGCAGCATCGGTTGGCTTTGAATCATTTTTAAAGACCTGTGCCTGGCCTGGCCTCGTCAGCCGGGACACACGAGGTTCCGTGTCTGGTCGCCTAGAGACAACCGTTACTCGCCCCCGGTGACTAGGCTACTGGTTGCCTGTAAGCCTGGATTTAGGCCTCTCCCCCACCATCCCATGGGAGGTGTGCAACAAGCTGCTAGTTGCTTCCTGCGTCTTCAGATCCTATCTTTGGATCCAACGCAGGGTGCCTTTCATCGGCTATTATTTCCTGCCTCTCCCATAACTCTTTTTTTAAAATAATCGAAGGGTCCCTATCCTGTTGGGGAAAGCAGATGTTTCATCTTCTGATCTGCACCCAGGATGTTCCTTGTAAGACGCCTCCCATCTTTTCACGTTCATTCCAAGGCTTCTCCTGTCCTTTTCGATAAGGCGGTATTGGCAGTAACAGCATTTCAAGTTATTTGGTACAAAGCCTGTAGTGATGCACCTCTGCCACAAGGTGGCAGCACAGTCCATTCATTTCCCTACCACCGGTCTACCATGAAGTCCAGCATAAAAAGAGGTTTTTAAAGTCTTTTGGCCTGAGGCTTCCTTGTTGGGTGGATGGTCCAAAATCTTTTGAGATGAAAAATGATCTCGGTCGACAGCTGGAAAGGAAAAGAAGACCAAAGTCACACTGATGCAGTATAGCTGGTTTTTAGAAGAAGAGTTGGTTTTTATACCCTGCCCTCCACTACCCGAAGGAGTCTCAGACCGGCTTGCAATCTCCTTTCCCTTCCCCTCCCCACAACAGACACCTTGTGAGGTCGGTGGGGCTGAGAGAGCTCTTTTGAGAACTGCTCTGGAGAGAACAGCTCTGAGAGAACGTGTGACTGATCCAAGGTCACCCAACTGGCTGCATGCGGAGGAGTGGGGAATCAAACCTGGTTCTCCCAGATCCGAGTCCGCTGCTCTTAATCACTACACCAAACTGGCTCTCATTTTCACAAGCACCGATTTAGCTAGCAGGCAGCCTTGGATAAATCCACCACCCCATACTTTTATCCTCCCCTGCTGGCTTGGATAGATTTTAGTCAAGGTGCTGGTGAAATATTTCCCCCACCCACCCATGTAAAAGGTTTCATAGGAGATGGGTGCGGAGAATTCCCTTTTTATGTGTATGCCATTCCGGGTAGATCTGTTAGTTTCAGAGGGTGGGAGAGGGGTTGCAAAGACGGGCCTGGGGATGCAAAGGCAACAGTGCAGAATGTAATATCAGTCTGTTAACTCTGCAGTCTGGATAGGTTTGAGAATCTGTGCCCTGTAGCGGAGAGATGCGGCACCAGCTAGTGGTGAGGATGGTGCTGGAGGTTGGCACGAACAGGCAGGGCGAGTGTCAACAATACACTTTGGGCACCCTGACCCGGATAGCCCAGGCAAGCCCGCTCTGGTCAGATCTCGGAAGTTAAGTGGGGCTGAACCTGGCAAGTATTTGTATGGGAGACCTCCAGAGAATACCAGGGCTGGGACTCCGGAGGCAGAGGCAGGCATATTGGGCAACACACCCCTAATGTAGCCAGTCCCCCAAGAGCTTACAGTGGCGCCTGTAAGAAGAGCTCTGTAAGCTCTTGGAGGATTGGCTACATTCGAGGTGTGTCGCCTAATAGGCAAAGGAGTCCCCGCTACAAAAAGAGCTCAGGTTGTAACACAGGAAGAGGAAGAAGAGATTGGATTTATACCCGCACTCCACTACCCAAAAAGAGTCTCCGAGCGGCTTACAATCTCCTTTCCCTTCCTCTCCCCACAACAGACACCCTGTGAGGTAGGCTGGGGCCGAGGGAGCTCTTTCAAGAA